ATGACGTATTTACCAAAGAATCTGTGTAGAAATGAAGACACCAAATGCTTTAGACGCTGGAATATTGGTCGACATTATGGGAAAGTCGCATGTGTAACATCCGTCCAACACTCCATGCAACACTCCAAGTAATACGAAGGACAGAGTCACGTCAGTGTTCTTGTAAGCAGGACACGTCAGTCCAACACTCCATGCAAGCACACGCCAGTCAAACACCAGGACACGTCAGTCAAACACTTCATGTAACAAGTCAGTCAAACACTCCATATACGAAGGACACGTCAGTCAAACAGGACACGTCAGTCAAACACTTCATGTAAGCAGGACACGTCAGTCAAACACTCCATGCAAGCAGACACGCCAGTCAAACACGTCGTGTAAGCAACAAGCAGGACAGGAAACGTCAGTCAAACACTCCATGCAGGAGCAGGACACGACAGTCAACCACTCCATGTAAGCAGGAAACGTCAGTCAACCACTCCATGTAAGCAGGAAACGTCAGTCAACCACTCCATGTAAGCAGGACACGTTAGCGAAACACTTCGTGCAAGCAGAGCAAGCCAAACAATTAAATGTAAGAAGGAAGTTAGGATGCCGGTACAAAATTTCTTGTTTTAGTTCCCGTTAAGCTTCAGGAATATACACAACAATATATTTTCATGAAGGTATGATCAATAATTTGTCGTCGAGATGCGCGATAACAGTAGCATCAACCGTCCATCTAAAGAAGCTATGATCGTGGAAGATAGGTTGTAACATGGGACATGTCAATGGTTTACCCCAATGACTCCGATAGTCAAACCTGATACCTCTCCTACCAGGACATAAAGGCTGACATCTTAATGCCCCCAAAGTACTCACTGTATGCATGTGCAGGTTTTAAAATATGTTTGAAATAAATCAAACCTAAATGAGGGTGTCACGAACTGAAAAACTATCTACTTTATAAAGTAGGGATTTCCAATTTGTGATTAGAACATCCGATAGCAAAGAAAACAATTGTACCTTTAAGGGTGACACTTCCGCGCCGTTTAAACGATATTATGTTATGATTTAATCCAACCTTTATCAACCAGGAGTAAATCAAACCCAAATGGATGCCAAGAAGGAAACACTAGATACTTGCAACAATTATAAGATTTGCTTATTTGGCTTAAAATACATTTGTCACTCAATAATCTAACGGAACAAATTGCTCCACTGTCTTCTGGCAAGATAATCCCCAGATCACATCGCCATGATCGTCGACAATAGCCGGACATTGCCGAGGAACAATAGCCTGTCGGAATATGGGAATATGATCCCAATATTGGGCAGTCTAACAGGCCTGAGCACCGCAAGAGGTAACCTGGACATGACATGGATTAGGGGTGATCAAAACTTCAGATAGATTTACAATCTTTGGAGGTTTTAAGTCTCCACTAATGCTATGAGTCATTTTAACAAGGCAATGATACGATGTGAGTCATTCAGATGTAGATTGTCTTACATCGGCGACGGGTCACTCCGGACAGACATGGTCACTGTTGGACGTCGATGCTCATATTAGCCTTAAGTCTTTGTTCTTACCGAGATTATCAGTTTGGCTACCATCGGCTGGACATTGACATGACCATGCTCGGTATACGACTGTGAGTTATATATATACACATATGTCCTGTATCCCCCCTGAAGATGGATATGACCATAACGGTCATTATTTGGGGGGATGTATTAAGGGTGATGAAGAAGACGTCTTGGCTCAAGTTCCAGTGTCTACCACGTGTAGTTTGTTTGTCTGTTGTTTGAGATCGCACTCAGCAATGTTGCAGCTATATGACGGCTGTCTGTAAAAAGTCTGGACCAGATAACTCAGTGATTGACATCATGAACATTGATCTACTCTAGTGGGACACAAATCATCAATTATCAACCAAGTCAGCGAGCCTGACTATCAGATCCCGTTAGTCGCGGGTCTTTTTGCAAGCATGGATTGCTGAAGACAAATTGATTAGAAGCTGTGAAACCATGCATAAAAGTAGGGCAGTTACAGTAAGCATTAGCTATTAGTTTGGTACGCACGGATTAAAGTAACATTTATGATGTAACATTAGTTGGAAAAACTTATTTAAGTCGCAGTTAGCATGTTGAACGTTAACTAAGGTGATCTCCAGCTGTTAGGGTGACATACATTAAAGTTAACATTTAGCAGTTAGCATGTTGAACGTTAACTAAGGTGATCTCCAGCTGTTAGGGTGACATACAGTTAGCATGTTGATCTCCAGCTGTTAGGGTGACATACATTAAAGTTAACATTTAGCTGTTAGGGTGACATACATTAAAGTTAACATGTTAGTTAACTTGATAAATCTCCAGCTGTTAGGGTGACATACATTAAAGTTAACATTTAGCAGTTATGTTGAACTCCATCTCAAGCCGTTAGGGTGACATACATTATCTCCAGCTGTTAGGGTGATATACATTAAAGTTAACATTTAGCTGTTAGCTTGATAAACAATATTTAAATTTAAAATTTAGCTGTGATGGATTTATATACATTAATTAAAGGATCCTCTAACTGTTAGCTTAATCCACATAATAAGCTGGATGACAAACGAATAATTGGAATCATACAAATCAGACTATCCATTGACCCGACCGTAGTCCCCTTTCTATTCATGCAAAGCCACACTGACGTAGGGGCGGGTTCTAGTGAAACCCACGAGCATCATAGTTCGGGAAATTGTGGGATTAAAACCCACACCCAACGCATCCTGGCAACTAAGGGTCACAGACACTCCAGGGCAGTTCGATAGCCTCAAGCGTTCAAGCATTCGCTCGTCTCGTCTCGTCACGCCGAAGGCCCGGGTTCGATTCCCCACATGGGTTCAATGTGTGAAGCCCATTCTGGTGTCCCCGCCGTGATATTGCCAAAAGAGAGGTAAAACCCAACTCACTCTCTCACTTACTCACAGATAGTCCTTCCGCGTTAAAGGCGAGTTTCTCCCTGGCGATGACCAGGCAAGTGTACTGCTGATCACAGGAATGAGAGAATGGACTTGCAAATCAAAACATTCCTACTAATTATACAATCATGGTTTAAGTGACTGAGTTACAATTTGACTTTTCAAGTCAGCAGTATTTCAACCACATCGTGACTCTGTGTAGTAAATAAAGCTTCCATAAGTGTTTTCCTGCAATATCTTGATAATTTGATATTTTGATTGTGAAAACAAAGGCTATCTATGTCAGTTTGTACATGGGCTGAAACCAAGCATAATGCTGCAGTCTAGTCTATATAAACCTATTCTTGTATATCAGCAGAATGAAAGTAACAGAGTCTGTAACAAGCAAACCAGTGGTTGATAGCATGAACAACTGCACCAGACTACCAGGCCCGACTGTCAGCCTGGTTACATAGTGCAGCCATTTCATTCATCAAGTTAGGCCATCACTCCATACCAAGAACAGTGATGTTTACAAGATAATCAGCTTAATTAATTTGTACTTGACCACTACCCAGTGAGTTGTGTATTCAGTGAAACAGTCCCAGTATATAGTAGGAAACAGTTCGAAACATCTCTCGATTTGCGGAAAAGGACTGAACGTATAATATGGGGTTGATCCCATTAAACACTATTTTCATGATATATAAACACTAAAATATGAAATGATAGGGAAACAATGGGGTCCTTAAAAACCGTAAAATTAGGAAATGTGAAGTGACCCGGGTTCGATTCCTTACATGAGTACAATGTGCCGGTACAATGTGTGAAGCCCATTCTTGTGTCCTCCGCCGTGATATTGTAGGAATATTGCTAAAAGCGGCGTAAACTAAACTCACTCACTCCTTTATACAACCATGGTGAGGGTACTGCTCTGAAAGCCGTGATATTGACAAAAGCAAAAGTTGTCTCAAGTCATGGCGAGTGGACAAATTTCTCATGTTCTGTTTACTGGTTTACCGAAAGAACCAGAAAAAAAATAATATTAGAAACCAGTGAAGCCACCTCGTCTGATTCATATCTAGATATCTGTAGAACTATTCACATTGACAAAGGACGCTCAACAATACTATATGACATAATAGATTACTTAAACCTTCCTTTTATGTCGACCAATATTCCATCAGCTCCAGCTGTTGGTGTTTACCTGATTTGAAGACTTCAAAAAGCGTCATACAACTTTTGCTCAAATGTTGTTTCAAACATTCAAGGACTCAGTATAATTATTAATTCCTTTTTAAGGTAGACATGTTAGAGATATTTCAACATGTAACGCATATATAGGAAATAAAATTTGTGTTTGCAATTGCTATTGTGTACTGTTTCTGGTAGCACGTGTTCCCGTGTTCTTGTCTACTTGCCCTTGTCCGTGTTCTGGGTGCTATTGGTAAGGCAGGATACGCTTCATATTTCTAGAACACATGGTGTCATCACCAGTTGATACAGGATAATGGAGATATATACGTTCTCTGCTGGTCTCTCTCACAGTCCCTCAACCACATTATTTGCATATTTATCCATAAATGACTCCAAGGGTACTGTTTTTATCATGCACTGGATTTATCCTGCCAAAAATCCTGGTAAAGAAAACATTAATAAATAATTTGGATAAAAGCATATAGATTTCCGCTTCACAGAGCTGATTTGTTTATTGACCAAGAACTGATGTGTTTCATCACTGATTAAACATAGAGCACTTCACCCCACAGGAGGGACAACACTTCAGTTCTGACCTCATCTGATATTTCTAAAAATGTCACAAAGTTTAAAAAGATTTATGTTTTAAAAATCATATATACTTTAATGAAATATTATTTTCTAACAATAAACAAGAAAAATGGTCAAATCTATCACCAAATAACAATGGCCCAACATCGTCATTAACCTCTTTTCAGGAATGTTGAATCTTGGCATACCTCCTTGTAAGTCTTCATAGATTGTTTTGGTGCATAACAAATCCATTTCACCTTCTATTTCCTTGTCAGTTATTAAAAACGAACAACAGTGACAAGATGATCCAGTTTCTCAACTTTATTCACAAGATTCATGGAAATGAAGATAAATTATTATGGCAAGTTTGAGACTTTTCTGGGTCGAGGTCACATGTATCCCAAGGTCATACAAGGTCATGGCAAGATGCTCGCCAGGTTGCGTTGTATCATTTCAGTGCAGTCAACACTGATGTTTCCCATCACAAACTAAACACACATTTCGACACTTTAACAAAATAATACATATGTACAACCACTAATTACAACTTTGAGCCTGGGACTTAATAAATACATGATGATGATGAACATGGTGATGATAATGATGATGACGATAATGACCCTGATGATGTTGAACGACAAAGATGATGTGAGAGTTTTAATAACTATTTCAGCACCTATAGGTTGCAATGGATGTTCTTAAACATTCATATATACAGTAACATTTCAGATTTATTATGATAAATATGTCTTAGTCACGTTCCTATATCACTTTAAATCCTTTGCTGTATTTTGTTCTTAATTCTTAGAACCAGAAATGAACAAACATATCAAGAGAAGTCATCAAACATGGCCTATATATTACTTACAATATAGTAACCTACTGTTAACCCGAAGACTGACCTTCATAATAACCAGAATGAGTATAAATGCCAACCCTCAGAATACCCATACGGGAAACTGAAAACCATGAATATGTAAACGAAAACTGAGATCCATGGTATTATCCTTTAGTCATGCTCAGCTAAACATCCTTCATGTTATTTTATTCTTAAGAAACTGACGAACATAAATATCTGGGAATTCGTTTGATGTGCAAAATGGGTTTCCAGGAAAACAAGTTGGTTGATATTATTAAATATAGATTTTTCAGTTCATAAATGAACTCCTATAATAATAAATTTATCTTATGACTGACAAATTATTATAATTAATAACATCATAAAAAGGAAATGAGGATGAAGTAAGATGCTGAACACTCCTTAAATCCTTTTGTATTTAGAAGTTGTGATAATCCTGGCAACACCAAATGAAAATAGGATAACCTTTCAAAATATATTTTGTCAACAAAATATACAAACAAAACATATGGAGCATGCTGAGAAAAGCTGTAAATAAAATCATAGCACTTGTCATTTGGCAAAAGCAATAGAAATTATAGAAGGACACAAGAAGCATTGGCATATGAAAACAACAATACTGAGTGCTTCATTGGATTGTCAAAATAATATACACAACATAAACAGGAGATGCTTGTCATAGACATATCAACATTGCTGAAACTCATGGACAATAAACAAACCAACATGCATCAATGCAGGCTAGAAGCAGAACATAATTGGTGTCACCGCTATTGTTTACCTATTTACAGGAATATTTTCTTTAATTTGAGCAAATATTATCAGATAAATTTTGATACTGTAGTGTGACTTCACTTGTTAATCAGTTGAGAAAACGACAATATAAATAGCTACAGTATTCCAGTCTCTACACTTAATACAACACTGAGTCCTCTTTCATACGTTTAACGACTTGAACACAATATCACAAACATGTATACATCCGCTGAGTTGTCCAAAAATATACTGCAAATATTGAAAAAAAATATGTTGGCTATAGAGAACACTGTCATTTAATTGATTTGGTCATTGACCAAACTGCAAGCCAAATTTCTTGTCAATTCAAAGGAAATATGTTTAGAGGATATTTTTAGGAGCAAGTGCATTCAATGTAACACACCTTAAAGCTGAAATCCATATGACAATATTTGGTGAAAAGCTTTGTAAATAAAATCTTAAAAATGACTCTGTAAATTAGGCTGTATATAAGCAAACCTAAACAAAACATACAACAAAAAATAATATCAGTGACCATATCAATAGCACTAATGAAACTGCATATACTTGTACTTAAAGTATATGAGAATAAAGTGTTTAGCATTATGCCTCCATGCTATAAGGAATGATCCCTCACTAAAGCCATCCTGATGGGACTTATATTATCTATGTGGCTTGAAGTTTAAATAACGAGGTAAAATTGTAATGGATCATAAAGGACGAGAAAAATATTGTGACATAGATTCTCTTTAATGATACATTTTGGTTAACATAAACAGTGTATTTACACTCATACCACAATAAGTTCTTGCAGTGTGGAACCATGCCTCATCTCACATGGCAACCATATCAAACTGACTTAAATAAATAAGGTCAAGGTCATTGTGATTAACAACATATAAACCTTAGAAATTTATTTGCTGACATTTGACAGAAGTCACTGGTGGAAATATCCAGTGAGTTACTGTGCTTTAGTCCAAGGTCAACAAAATAGGTCAAGGTCATAAGCAAACCTTGATTCCTGACACTTAGAATATAAAAAGTGTTCATTTTGACACATGTAGTTTCATGTTGGCCTCTATCAGTGGGTGCTACTTAGTAATGTGTGGGTCATCTCAGAGAAACTAAGTAATGGATTATCTCCCCTGTCTGTGACGCTCTTCAGTGCCAGGTGCTGAAAAAGAAATGGAAAATGGTCAAAAATAGAATGAATGACAGCATTCTATGTTCAGCTAATTGATGAATAGGGAGAGCATAAATTGAACTTGTCTTTGATGACGAAACCAAACCCTACTCCTTGTAAATGTGAAGCAGATTCATTTACATTCAGATAATCCAATTAACATCAGTGATGGAGTATGACATTTACAAATGTGTTATGTTTTATGTTTATACGCCTCAGCATCCTGTAGGCAATCTGTTACTGACAGTCCATGAGCATAGTTAATATAGTAATTTCACTGCTGGGCGAACATTAGGCTACAGGGACATTACGGTCAGTCCATACTTTTGAAGCTTTACAGCATTTCATTTACTTTCAGAAAACAATTACTATTACTATGAATATAATATATTTAAATAAAAAAACTTCATATCAAAGAAAGTGTCCATTCCCACTACCATCTATCTCAGCCCGAACTTCATGCATCTCTCATGACCTCTGTTTTCATTCTCATAATGCTGAACATTTTCAGAATGATATTCCCCATAATCCATTCCCCGTCCTATTCAATCCCATCCCCCTTGTCACTCCTTGCCCTAATACTCCCATTCATTTATTTCAACCCCCACCTCAATATCTGCACCACACCACACCATTGCCTCCATCCCAATCCCTTAATCTCTGCCTCCCCCACCCCACCTTCATTCACAACCTTCACCCCCACCTCAATATCTGGACACCCCCCCATACACCAATGCCTTCATCCCAAATACCTTAAACTCCCCCACTCCACCTTCATTCACAACCACCAACTTTGTAAGCTCCATCCCCACCCCGAACTCCCTGGCCCCAAAAACCCCACCTCCATCCCCCTGTCAATCTCCACCATCCCAACTCTCATCCCAACTCTGAATCCCTGCCCCCCTATCCCCTATTCACAATCTGGTACACCACCTCCATCCCTGTACAACTCCAACCCTGACCCCCATTCACCTCCTCCACCAACCTGTCAATACCCCAGCCACCATCCCTACCCAACACCCATTTGACCACTCATTTCCCCATTCAGGCTCCACTCAATCCCTTCTCACTCCCGACCCTTCCATCCCTGCTAAACGTCGGGCTTCCCCCGAGTGTGTACCTTCTGATGAGCCACACTGTCAGCCAACATAGCTCTCTTGGATGCACATGCATACATGTCAGAGCCAGCGCCCCAGTCCTTGTCTGTGTAGGCATTGTTGTTGTAGTGATGGGTGGTTACCCATGGCGATGCCTTCACAACAGGGACAGGAATGCCCCCCATCACAGACTGCTGTTGATGTTGCTGTTGTTTGTCACAGGATGGACTGAAAGAAAGATGAAACAGTATTAGTAATTTGACATTGATTAATTAATACAATTATATTCAAAATTCAATGTCAGTTAAATACATTATATCTTCAGTCTCAGTATACTGTATTAGTCTCAGTCTGCTCTCAACATAAGCTTACACGATTTACTATACTTGGTACTGTTCAAAGTGGTGTTAAATCCTGACAACTTACTTGGAATGAATGACAGAGGCTGGAACTCCGGTGATCTTGGGACTTGTCCTTGTGTTCATCACAAGATCGTTCTTATTAGGAGTTCCGCTGGACAGTTCTGAAGCACTGAGATCTGACTGAGCAGGACTTGTTCCACGGTCAGACCCTGATCCTAAACTCCCTCGTTGATGGTAAGCAGGGGGACCCTTCCCACAGTGTCCCCAGACACTGCCATTCATATCAGGGGTCTTATTACTGTTGTGTAACACATTGGGAGTCATGTTCCCATCCAAGTTAATGTTGTCCCGAACACCAGGTCCAGCACTCTTTATCACAGAGCTGTCTCTGTGGTTGAGAGAGTGCTGCACGAGATCTTGACCATTGACCACAGCGTCTGGTGATGACCTTGTGTCCATTTTATTGTCTTTAGGATAAACACCCTGATTATGGACAGATCGGAAAAGTGTAGAGGATGGCATACAAGGAGGAGCAACTGCTCCTTCTATTGTGTTCATGAATGAGTTTGCATTGTACACAGATGCTGAACGGAGATCCACTGGCTCCAGAGATCCGTTCAGACGAGATGGAAAGCGTTCATGATGATGGAAATCATATCCATATTTCCTTGAGTCATTTTCATAGAAGGGCAATTCCTCACACACGCCCTTCTTGGCAAGGTCAAAACCGTAGCCATAGTCCAGACCATATTTTGGTGCTGATGTGATGATATCTGCATAACTGTTTGTGGAGTAGGGTAAAGATGGCTGATATTGTCGGGGATCTAAAATGTATCCATTAGAGAGACTATGTTTGTCAGATTCTAGTCTGTATGCATCAGAGCTAGGGTACATCGAACCTGTCAGTGACCCATACACATTGGAGCGATATATATCAGTGTCATATCCAAAATTGTTCGGATACACAATGTCCGACTTGTAGTCTCCGGTGTCATAGTTGAAAGGGGCATAGCCTCCATAGCTGACGTTCAGGGGACAGGGACCTTTCCTTTTCTTGGTGTTCTGGGAATATTCCCGTCCCTGAGCTTTCTTCTTGTTCTTGTTAGGTTTCTTGGACACAAGATCCTCCTCCGGGAATCCAAAGCCTGCACACAGGTCCATGTCCAGCAGTGGGTACGGAAGCTTGAACTCATTTCCTCGCTTGCCAAACAGGTCCTGGCCCTCATCATCACTGATAAGTAACAGAAACATTGGCTCATGTTACAGTTCTTGGACAGGCATTTCAAAGGTGAAAGTACATGGATAATTTATCATGATAAACCACTTTATTGTCTCAGGTTACCTTTAGCTTGGTGATAATGGGGTACCCTAGTGGTTAAATTGTTCACTTGTCCCACCAAAGATACAGGTTTGATTCCCCACATGGGTACAATGTGTAAAGTCTATTTCTGGTGTCTCAAGCCATGATATTGCTGGAATAATCACCTCCTCACTCACTACTTTTAGCTCATTTTATGGTTCACAACTTCCTCAGTGATTGATGCACCATATGTTATCTATAATGTATTCATTTGTTCATATTGTGCAAATAACAATAATTATCATCAGAGAGATTTGATGTCAATATCATCATCATTGATGATGTGAATGATATCATGTTTCTACGTTAATGTTTGTAGTGAATGGCATATGCACAGGAAGGAATTGTAATGATGTAGAGAAGAAGCAATTTTGTTAGTTGATACTGTCTAAATAAAACTGCAAATTAGTGTAATATTGCTAACATGATCTTACATCATGATTCACTAACTGGATTAAACTTCAGTATTTTAAGTATTTTATGTCAACTTAGTCATGCTCATGACATCAAAATGTTGTTTTCTTACTATTTCTCTACATAATAACACCTGCCCACCATACTAAATGACAAGCCAGATGACCAGCTGACCACTTACGTGAGCTGCCTGTGAGTACAAATGATGAAGTCTGGCTTGCTGTTCTTGTAGATGACCTTACAACTGGACTGAAGCCACAGCCATCGGAAAGACTTGGTCAGCCATCGGTAGGCAATCAGGCCAGAACTGCCTGTTTTTTATCACTGAAATAGACACAATAAATATATGTATCCTGGCAATAAACATTACCAGCACAATAAAGCATAGGGTTTACTCGAGGCCCTTTTTTAGCTGATACCTGTCCTGGAAGTGCTCTTTTGCTTTGGGGGAGATATCCTTCATTACTGCGAATAATTGTACATTCATCATTAGGGCTGTGTATTGGCAAATAAATTGTATTGCAATATATTGCGAAACTGGTACCCGTATTCCGATACATATTGCAATATATTGGAAGCTTCAGTATTTGATAGTGATTGACACTGATAGTATATACAAAGCCTATTTTCGAAGTACTAAAGCCCTAAAAATACATGTTGTGGTTTTGATAACAGAAACCTTGAATGTATTTTTCAGGTGCAATATAGGTGACACATTTCTACTCATTTCTCTGATCAAGCGTCTAGGAGTGTTGTAAACTGTTTAAATATACCAACATCAAATCCTCATCAGACTACAGAGACTTAAAAAATGTGCTTTGTTTCCTCAGAAACATTCCAAGAACTTGCTAAGAAATCTAACCTTGAAAAACTGCTTAACTTGTTCAAAACAACATGAAAAGAACATTAAAAGTTTCCAGGAAGATTAAAAAAACTAAACACAGGGAACAAGAAGCTACACAAGAACAAACCGGTAAATTACTTCAAAGCAATCAAGTACATTTTTTATGTGAATTCACATTACCACGATGTCAATTTCAGGGGTGAAATGTACACCCAGTCACATTACATCTCCTATAGTTTACTCTTCTGTAGGAAATTTAATTCTGCATATTGACATTCCTAATCAATTTCTGTCTGACATCTGCCAGTGGTGTAAATTAGTTGAGAATTGAGAAGCGTCCATAACACAGGGTCCCCCACGTTTCTGTCTCGGTTATGGTGTGAAGCATCGAGATGTGGTCGACAAGGGATGGTATTCCACACAAATAAGACAAAAGGATGTTGTTATCAGTAACTAACCTGCCAATCATCCCACTTAATCACTATCATTGCCACCGATCAGTAAATAAGGTACAGTCATTTCCCATGGTCGATTGTATCATCAATAAAGTCAGCTGAACTGTATCACCATCACCATCATCATCATCATCATCATCATCATCATCAAAACTGATGCACAATTATGATTCTCACTCTAATCTTTTATCAATATTGAAATGAATGACTTCTTGCTGATAGAATCTGCATTTCCACCTGATTCATTCCAGTGAAACAAACACCTCAAAATGATTGATTGAAACAGGCATCTGTTAATTTCATTTCCCAGCTTTCCCAAGGTTGCTGCCTGAAGAAACCGTGTTCATTTGGCCTGGTTAGATGATTTCTTCCCACTACATTGATACTATTACAGTCATCTCATTACATAGATTAATCAGCTGGGAGGAGGCTGGACACTGCAACCTATGTTACAGATGTTTCTGATACTTACACTCTTGATGGGCGGCTGCAAAGTAGGAGAGATCATCAGGATGGACAAGGTCATAGCCAGACGTTGATGCCAACTCATGGTCTGCATATCCAAACATCATCTTCCCCCTGAAACAAACAATAACAATCTCAGCATCTCATGGCTTGGTCAAACCATTACAGATGTATCCCTGCAAACACACAGAGGTTACTTCCTGAAGCCTTGTGTACAGGTAGCTCCAAGAAGGGACTAGACAGGGCTATACCCCCATCCTTCCTTTATACAATGACATGTACACTGATTCTTATCTTGTATGTTTATTATCTTATTAGCATCTGTTTTAGGTGGAGGATATTAATGTCTGTGTGGGTGTTTATTGAATATTAAACAATTTCAACTTCAAAATAGAATTATTTTCTTTATTTCTTATAAAATTAATGATTATCAAAGATGCAGACATATTTATGTTGACATTCAATGTTTAAAGGTATGGTATAATATTTTTCAAACAACAGATTTGACAGAACTAGATTGAATTAAGAAACAGATTTTAAGAAGCACATAATTTTTCCTTGAATCATGTATCTTTTTCCTTATGTAGGTCATTGCCTGGTAATTCAGCTTGCTTTTGCAGTCGACTGATTTAATCAGATGAGGGATAATTAATTTACAAGCTAGAAAGTCCTGGGTCTATCTTCAACTGAAATGTCACTTTGAAATGTGCGTCAATTAGCAATGCACATGTTTTTTGATCGTCGATTTCTTTGAACATGATGACAATAACTAACCCTGCTTGTCAGGTTTTCACAAGGACAAAACGTACCTGTCTCAAGAACCAAATTTATAGCACTATGTCATTAACTTGGGGCAGCAAAGATTAATACCGGAACAGAAGATTACATTTCAACGTGAAGGAAATAAAGAATTTGCATTCATATAGCAGCACAAAGAAATTAACACGCAAATAGGTCAATTTGCTGATATGCATCATAGACAAGTGCTGTGATCAATCCTAGATACAGATTTGTGTGACAGGAATTTTGAAATGTACATAAACACACTGGTAGATGTGTCGTTAAGCAAGCTATTCTGACAAAAATTGTTCAGTCACTAGGGGTCATATTACCTGAGCTTTTGTTAAAGTTGAAGCAGGTAGTATGAAAGGGTTGTCAATTTCACAGACATTAGACATAAACGACCGTCAGATTGATTATATACAGCAGTGTCAGAGTACTTGACACCACAAATGACGATGTGACATTACAACATGGGGTAAACCCTATACCTTCAAACACTAGAGACCTTAAACTTTACACTGTAAAGTCATTAGGAAACTCCTAAACAACAACAACACTGTTCTCTGCAGGTGATCAATACACCAACGAGGTTCCACTTAATTGTATACACAAACTGTCAATGTCAATGTGAGAGATTTCACTATTCTTGTAATCATGTTTACTACAAAAAAACAATCAGTGGAAACAAACTGAATTTTCTTCATCTGGGGTAGTTTAGTACATTTTAAGGATTCGCTATGCTGCTGTAAACATCCCAATAATAATTATGTGCCCTATGAGTTAACTATTGCTCTTGACTATATGATCCCTCCTCGCCTCTGGCCATCGGCCATTTAGACAAGAATAGCCCCAGCAGGTAATCCTGGCCAGGTGGAAGCACTTGACCTGAGGTCACAGGTCAGACTGACCATCACAATAGACAGACAATATTCCACAGAGTGTATTGCATATATGCAGGCATCAGCACAGAAAACATCCCAAGAGGGCATCTAAAGAACTTGTCATCCGTACTTTATCAGTTATTAGATATTAGTCTGTGCTGATTACCATTATGAATAGCCTTGTCTGCAAAATAAAATATTACTGGTAAAGACTTATCAACTACCACACTTAGTATTTGTATGGGGTGCTCTTACAAGCAGTATTTGGTAACAGAGTAATTCTATCTTGCAGAATTTCTGCAAAAATATATCTAGAAATATAAGACATCTCGAGAAAAGTAAACATTTCTTATAAACTTTACAAAATCTTCTGAGTATGAAATTATCATCTGAAGTGATGAATAGAAAATAATTATTATGAAAATCTTGGAAAATCTTGACAATTTTATATAAATCAAAAGGCTGGAGAAATCTTGCATAGCTAGTGATAATCTGTCTAGCTCTAAATATTCCCTTAACCCCCTCAATCATAAACCATGTTTACTTGAGTTCACTAGTTAGTAACCAAATCAGTGATGACCACAATTGTAAGTAGTGGTCACCTGTATGCCACCTCTCAGGTGTTGGGAGATGAGACATTTGTAAATAGTGGTCACCTGTATGCCACCTCTCAGGTGTTGGGAGATGAGACATTTGTAAGTTGTGGTCACCTGTATGCCACCTCTCAGGTGTTGGGAGATGAGACATTTGTAAGTTGTGGTCACCTGTATGCCACCTCTCAGGTGTTGGGAGATGAGACATTTGTAAGTAGTGGTCACCTGTATGCCACCTCTCAGGTGTTGGGAGATGAGACACTTGTAAGTAGTGGTCACCTGTATGCCACCTCAGGTGTTGGGAGATGAGACATTTGTAAGTAGTGGTCACCTGTATGCCACCTCTCAGGTGTTGGGAGATGAGACATTTGTAAGTAGTGGTCACCTGTATGCCACCTCTCAGGTGTTGGGAGATGAGACATTTGTAAGTAGTGGTCACCTGTATGCCACCTCTCAGGTGTTGGGAGATGACACAACAATCATATTGAGTACACACGAACAAAACCACTTAAGTTCTTGTCAGTTTCACCTGAGCCTAAATCAAAACAAATGGATTTGTAACATGACACCAGAAATTACCATGTACCTAGAGAAACTGTAAACAGCACTGTTAATTCTCATTCCAGGCTTGCTCTGAATGGGACACTGCCATTACAAACCAACTTTATACACTAAAATAGGGTCACTCACAGATTTCCACTAAATAGTATTAAAAGCCTTTTACAAGTAAATCCTCCAAGCCACCTTCAGGGAGAGTGATTAACCAGTTATTTCTTTACTGGAATATAATGGCTACACAATGAACGGAGATAGTCTGTGTCAGGAAAGCAGGATTTGTGGGCAACTTCGCTATCACTTTTCTTGCTCAGCTGTTGATTTTATCAAAGAACAAGGGGTGGTACACTAGTGACTAAAATGTCCACACATCCTGATGAAAAGGTCATTATAATTGCCAGCATAGCTATAATGTGTGCAGGTCATCATTGGTGATCCTCTAGTTTGACTGCAGTAGTCTGGTGAGGAAAAACATGTAAAACCTTCCCTGCTCAATGATTTATGATAGCATTTAACAATTTTCCTTTGAATTCATAAATTCTTTATATTTTGAAAAATGACACACATTTTTTAATTCTCCAATTACACATGCTTATATTTACAAATACAAAGGTGTTTTTTTAATATTCATAATTTTCGCAATTTCATTCATTGAATTTTTGTCCAATATGGGTATCTCATAGTTCAGTTTGCATTCTCCAAATATTAACAAATAAAGATTTTTTATTTATTGACCTTTGCACCAGAGCTACAGATAAATGTTTGGGTCATTGAGTTATGTACTCGCTTGTGTTCATCTTAATTGGGTATCCTAATTTTCTTTTGGGTAACCAAATAAATTGTACCCACCTCACTCAAACGCATTTGGGTATTTTGGTATTTTATGCATGTAATATCAAATCTATTGAGTATTTACAAATTTGAAGCGTACTTATATGCAATAGACTTAATAGGAATTGAGTTTTCACATAAATATTTGCATAATTCATGCAGATACGCAGCTTGTCTGTATCCTCTGCTTGGAACCATGACAACTTGCCATGAATAACTGCAAGACAGCTGATGTGGCGTTAAGCAATATTATTTAATCACTCACCATGACAAATGGGTCCAAGAAGCCAGGCATCCAACTAAGAACTAACATTGACCGGACAGACTGTTGTGTTCACTGAACTGCATAAGACAGAACTACACCAGCTTCACCAAGAAATATTCCATGTCTCTAAGATATGCTTGTTGGTAGTTAGTTGAGATTTTAACTTTCAAAAATGCTTAGCCAGATGAAGTCAGCTTTTTGTAACTAATCTTCCTTTTTAACTTTTAATTTAGTAGTTTGAAGACAACATTTAATTGGTTCAAGTGCAGAATGTTACCTATATAAGAGAAACAGGTAGATGTTGGTCAAAGGTGTTACAAGTGGGCCCAGGCTATATTACTGAGGAGTGTTTGATCAACTACTATCACAGGTACAGATAAACTGTGTATCTGCATAATATATTTATGTGAAAACCCAATACCTATTAAGTCTACTGCATACAAGTACGCTTGAAGTTTTGTAAATACTCAATACATTTGATCTTACATACATACACACAAAATAGATAAAATAACTGAGGTATATTGACAAGTTCTATTTCAGCACCTGAACTTGGCAACTTGCAGTCTTTCTGATCGTTTCTCATATTACAGATCAAATATGAATAACAAACACATAAACCAACATTTAAACTTTATCATATTTTAACAATAAATGGCAAAATACCCAACTGAGTTTCAGTGAGGTGGGTACAATTTATTTGGTTACTCAAAGGAAAATTAGGATACCCAATTGAGATGAACACAAGTGAGTACATAACTCAATGACCCAAAAAGTTATCTGTAGCTCTGCTACTATTTAAATGTTACACTTATTTTTCGCCAAACATTGATGAATGTTTTTTTCAGTTCCTTATAACTTAACTGGTATTGGGAAGATAGAGACTTGATTTGTTCTACTTTTTCAGTGTGGCTTTTGGCTTCAGTCAGTCAGTTAAAAAATATGGCCTAAGTACACGTAGCTGCACTTGAGTACGAAACACCCACATTCCCAAGACCCACAATTACTACCAGTACTTGATACAGCAGCTCCAAGACTGCACCAAATACCCTACTGTACATGCCACAAGAATTAATCACCAGACAATAACTCCCATATTTACACAAGGACTATAGCCGAGGATCTTCGCAGGGGAGGTAACCCAACCCACCTGTACCCATGTGACTGCCACCTGATCATGTAAATGCTGAAATAAGCGTCGTCTAT